TTTAGTGTCATTACAGTCCTGATAGTATGTTGATAACTATAAATCTACTCATTACAGTCACAATATTATGAATATATGTTATGTGTTAATTAGAGTCCCGATATTTTGTAGATAGTCATATGACTATGGAAATGTAATGTTTGCTTTTATATTATGTTTACAAGTGTAGTAATTAAACGTATACCAATATAACGAATTAAATTTTGTAAAATTATAGAATAAAACTGCTGAAAACAAACCTATTGCAATTTAAATAAACCCTAGTCATTTTAATTGAATATGTTTCATTAAGCATAATTCATTTCAATTTTTTCTACTATTTTTAAATTTTTAAACTTGACTAAATACTTTTAATAACAAAACTAATTCATATTGAGTTTATTCTTACAAATAAATTTGAAGTTAACAAAAACTAAATAAATATATTTGGAACTTTGTATTTATTGAAAAATTTTTTTAATTCTATTTCTGTGTTTTTAAATAAGTATTCTCAAGACATAAAAAAACAGGAATTGACTTTATAGAGTTTTTTTCCCCCAATGCCCACCTGGACATTGGGAAAATGGTCATGAAATGGCCACCTGGGCATTCATCAATACAGGCATCTGAAGGGCATATTTGTTGGCCACTCTTTCAAGGGCACCCTATTAGCTGGGCAACAGTTGTTCTCACAATAAGGACAGATAGCACAGAGAGTGAAAGCACATCCATCCGGGACTCGAACCTATACCCTTTCGAATGCAACGCCAGTTCCCTAACCCTTACACAGATTAGTCGGCTACTTTACAAAAGTTATAACTTAATTAGTCACATGAATAATAAATTTTCCCCCGAAACTTTGTTTTAAAAACCAACTACTAAAAAAACTACAAGAAAATAATTGTTCAAAACTGATAATTGTTATAATATTCTTTATATAAATTAGATTGATTGCAGCAATCCGTATTCTATAACAAATCACCGTAAGCCGCATAACGTTTAAATGATTAAAATAATAGACCCTAAGCTTGCAACAGTTTTTTTCTTCTTCTCAAATTTAAATATTTATACAATTTACAAGAAATTTCTTTTCGATAAAACGTAACTAATGCTCTTACACATCTTCTAATTTGGACACTTACATGAAAATTCTTTTAAGTTATTTAATATTTATGTATTTTAATGCATTTTTAGCAGTTGATTGCATAAAAAATAATAAAAAAACTGAGTTATTCTAAGAAGTCTTTGTCTTTCTTAAATAAACACGTGATGTTTGTTTTCATGAATCGATAACAAATATCACATAAGGCCTGAAAATGTGGGCTATCTTATCTAGCATTGATTGTAACCAGGTGCAACAATCTCATTTCTTCAGATAAATAGAAAAAACGCCTAATGTACTTATCTTATGTACTGCCAATTCATTTTCAAGTGAACGGATGTGAATATATTTTATTCCAAATTAAAAATTCAAAACATTTTTTTTAATATTTTTATTTTGAATGAATCTTTGTGAAAAAGGGACTGTCATTTAGCATTATTCGGAGAACTAATAAGAGTAATGCATGAAATAATGTAGTATTAATTTTAGCATATTTCAAATGAGTGCAGATTCAAAAATGCATGATTAAATATTTAAAACAATCAAATTGCTAAATCTTTGCTTATGGTCCTTATTGAATGAAATGCTGGACATAACGTTAAAGTTTTTATCGCAAACACATCTATAATCTAAAACAAACTCATGGGTCACAGTCACGGCTTAAGTTTAATTTCTTCTAACTGTCGCTAAACAAATTTCATTATCATATTTTAAAACAGGAAAGAAGGAAAAAAATACAGAGTCAAAATTCTCCGCATTTACGTTGAAGCGTGCAGGTAATTAGGGCGACAGGATAATTTTCTTTAAATTCAATATTTATTGTAAATATTTACGGCAGAGGAAAGCTTGCTTTTGAACTTCTATTCTTGTTTAATAGCCTTCGTTAATAGTTCTTGTTAAATAGTCTAACTTCCAGATCAGCGGTTTCCACACTGTGAAAATCGGCCCTCTAATGTGTCACGCGATTCTCTTCATATTGAAACTAACTATATTCAGCCGTTGAAACAGTGAACTAAGTGTAGAAATACCAAACAACCGGCAGGGAGGGGTGGTGGCTCAGGGGATAGAGCGTTCGCCTTCCAATGAGGTGAACTGGGTTCGAATCCCAGCGATTTAGGTCGATGCGAATTCCGCAGCCTATTCGCACCGACCATAGTGCTCACGTAAAATATCATCAGTGGTAGACGGATTATGGATTAGAATCCCCTAGCCGTTAGACTAACCTTGGGAGGTTATTCTCTCCATATAACGCAAATGCGGGTTAGACCCATCAAAAAGTCCTCCACGAAGACAAATTTCTCACAATACTTGATCCAGGAGTTCCCTTGTCTTCTGGATTGGGTTCGACATTACAATGCTACGGAGTTGAACATTTGTATACGTAAACCCGAAATTGCGTCGGTTGTTCAACGTTGGTTACAAAATATAAAACAACCGGCAGGAGACAATCAGAAGATGAAAACAACCTAAACTATTACTTACACACTATAAATTTTCGAACACGGAACGTATTTAGCAGGGCTCAAAAATCATATTGACACGGATATGTAAAAATTCCGATTCTACTTACATTTTTAACCCTTACATACACTGCTTGGCATGTAAATATTCAATTAAAAATATTATAAAATATCATAAAAGAGCCATTTCTCAAATTTTGACAAAAATCGTGAAGATAGGAGAAATGAAGGGCACTGATGAGAAGAAAACAAATAAAATCAATTACACGAGGCGAAAAAATATCTGGTAAAATTACCAGACTGTACGGTAATAGCGTTTCTGATTTTTTGTAATTTTGCTGATTAAAACCAAAATATACGATACTTAAACCATTCATTTGGCTAATTTTTTCGTTCTTATGGTAACGATTTACAGATAATTCTGATTTCAAAATTATAGTTCTTGGAGATTTTTAATTCTGGTTTTCAAATTTATAGTTGTTGGAGATATTTAGAAATCATATGTTATGTTCAATTCTTAAGGAGAAAAAAAAGATGAAAATATAGTTCTTCTAATCATGAACCATTTTTCCAGAGAGAAAAAATTCTCAAATCTCAAGAGAAGAAATAGTTACCTAACTTCGATCGCCAGTGAATGGTAGAACCAGGACAGCATCTCATAACACAAAGTTGACATTTCAATTTTTCAAAAAAGAAATTTTAAAAAAATTTCAAAATATGTATCAAATGAACCAAATTGAATAACGTTTTTCAAATGCATTGATTTGCGCACAAAATGTTTTTCTTGGTATCGTGAAATGCTCCATTACACAAATTAGTATTTTAATTAATATATGTCAGTATATATTTTCTAATCGGTGTTAGATTGAAATTAAATTCATTTTGGTTTAATGTATAGATACCTTTCTGAGTTGTAATAAATGACTACTTAACAAGTTATAAAGATCGTCGACAGCAGCCCCATAGCTTGTCTGCATTATGGCTTGTCCATTTAGTGGGCCGAGTGTGGACAAAAACAGCCATTTTTAAGAAATTTATTATAGAAAAGCAAAATAACTTTTTTAGTCCAGTTGTTGTTGTAGGCCTTTAAGGCACTTTGGTGCGATTATTCTTGTTTTCCAGTGGCGCCATCTATGGCCAAGAATTCGACTTCTGTCACACTCATCCACAGATCGTAATTTTGACCTTAACAAGAGAAAGACCAATCTCCAATTCAGTGCCCCTAGAGGTATTGGATGGTTATGGGAACATGGAGGACTTTGTGACCCGACAGATTTAATGAGCAGCAGTCACCATTACTTCGGCGGTCTGGATCCGAACTCCCGTTCTCACGAACGTGAGTCCAGCATCCTGACCAGGCTATCCCGGCTCCTTAAGAACCCTTATAATAAGCCCCTTATAAACTAGAATTCAATAAAACGCCATAATTGCTTAAAAAATACTTCAAGTGTTAAAAATTAAATTTCTTAAGATTTTTTTGACAAATTAGTAAAAAATTGTCCATACTAGCCCCCCTCTTCCTTATATAGAATATTATAACACTTATAGAATACCTCCCTTATATATAATGTTATTTACAATTTATTGAAATTAAAATTATTTGTCCTTATTAAAAACATTATAAAATTTATTTTTAAATGAGTTTATCCCTATACACCAACACATAACAAATTCATATAAGTAAAACAGTTTTAATCATTCAAAAACCTCTACACTTAAACAAATTTTGTCATTTTTTAAATATATATATTTTTTACTTATAATTTTTTTTAAGAAAAAAGAAACTAAACTTATATAAAAATAAAAGAAACCAAATAGTTCAGAATTGAAAATCGATATTTTTTTAAGAGTTTCCTAGCTTAGATAAATGTGAAGGTTACATTTCTTAGATTATATATTTTGTACGCATTTTTAAATATCTCAATTTAAACTATCGGTAAGCACTTAGCGACCAAATTCCATCACTGCCCGTAACCATAGTAGCAGACAGCGCGGAAGTTTGTCTGATAAGTTCTTGTGATAGTAGAATGAATAGCTAAGTTAATCCGCATGCTTATTTAAATATTGATCACGAGTTTCTCATCTCTTCACGAATATAGACTATTTTTTTCATTTCAAAAATTTTGTCAACTTTTGAAATTTCAACGTTTCAAGTTATGTGTGTCCTTTTAGCACAGATTTAAAATTGGGGGAGTTTTAAGACCCGGAAAGTTAAGAAATTTTCCCATACGTGTGTACTCAAACTTACAGACTGAATCTTGTCACTGCTTGTAATTGAAAGTTATAAATTCGAAAAAGAAAAACACTCTTCTATTTTATTCCCATTAATGCAATATCTAATAATAAAGCAAACATTTATCAGGCAGTTGTAATTGAAGATAAAATTAAAGCCTTTGTTCATAATCTAATCACATTGCTGCTCTATTGTCAATAACAGCAGACAATGGAATAATGTTAATTAGAGTTGCAACTAAAATAATGTAACTGAAGTAATAAGTTCAGTTAGAAATCATTAAAATGAATAATATTTAAGAGTAACATTAATTAGTTAGAAAATAAGGAACATTAAACTGGAAAAACTATCATGATTTATGCATTAAGTATTTTGGAAGTGAGTAATTAACTCTATTTGTCCAATAATAGCTGCTAATAGCAGTAAAATTTATGTACGTTAGAATATTAATATAAAAATAATTTTAAGAAAATTATCCATTTTTGTTTGTGTGCTTAAACAATATATGTTTGATAAAAAAAATAGCAAGCTATTACCCATTGATATCTACAGCATACAGCGTATGTAGAGCACAAAATATGTCTGCTTGAATTCATTTATCTGAAATTTAGATCAATTTTTATAAAATTAAATTAATCTGAAATTTTTAGATTACTTTAAATTTTTATTTTGGCATAGAAATTTGGCTTTAATAGCTTTGGTGCATACAGCAAACAATTTCACAATTATAACCTATAGCACATTACATGAATAAAATGTATTTGCTTGAATTCATAATGATAAATTTATTTTTTACTACATTAAAAGTTCATTAGTTATTACATGAAATAATTTTGAATGTTTTTTGCACGCAATAAATTGGTTAAATACAAATAATTAACTAATATTGAAGGTTGGTTATAATGTACAAAATCGGAAAAATCATTTATTTTGAAATATTTAAGCTACATTATTGATTTTAAAAAAACGATTATAATTTCATATACTTTAAATATATTTCAACACAATCAAGAATAAGTAAAATAGATAAGTATTAGGGAAGATTGATCATTCGGAGCATGCCCTCAGGGCACTAAAGCAACTACTTAAGTTTTAAAAAATGAAAATAAATTCTTAGCGTTTACCATACAGGCAATTATTTTTGTTCAATTAGGAGTTAAAGTAGCGTAATAAAAAAAATTCATTTTTTTCCCGTTAGTATTCGATATTGTTACTTTGTATCTTACTTTTTCTTATACGTAAATAGACCCCCAAAAGCTACTAGGATTTGTAAATGAGAGTCTGCATATATTATTGATACAATAGATGTAATTAAAGTCAATATTCCAAAAATATTTAAATACATTTGTTATTAATTATTAAAAATAAATATGATTTTTGTTTTTAATCATGCATAACATATTGTAATTGTAAATAATAAGCTATTACTCAATAATATCTTTAATACATGATTTCAAATTATTATGTGTACTTTAAACTATTGATATTAACTTTAAACATGCTATGAAAGCAAAAATGTTTTAAATGCTACATAATTCATTTTTGATCTTTTTTTAAAATTATTTTTCTTTTGTTTTAGAGTACAAGCGAGAAAACTTCCAGTATGAATACAGGTAAAACTTTCCGGCTTTAATTTTTCCTCAGTTTTAATGTTTAAGATATTTAGTTTAAATTTATATTTTTCACTATTTTCAGAAAAACTATTTTATATTTTTAGGAATCATGTTGTTATGTGAACATTAAAAAATCCACTCGTCTCAAAATATCTTGCAATTGAAAATTAAATCCTTAATAATATTAATTCTATTATTTATAAATATTATTTTTATCTAGCCATATAAGAACACACATGAATATTAAAATTATGGAAAATCTTAATTTTGGCACAAATCTCCCACATTTTTTTATGGTCCTTTATAAATTTATTATTAGGAATTTAACAACCACATAGATCAGGGTTTCCAAATTTTACCCAAAGTTGCGGGACCCAATACGAGTTTTAAAATTTTCTCACTGCACCTCAGTTATATAATATTTGTCTGCGGCATAATATTTATTATAAATATACATATTGTACTTAAAGTAGTAGAATTATCTTATTTTTTATAATATGGTTCTATTTATATTCAAATTTTATCAACTCTATCTAATTGAATATTTACTATTCTTTGAATAGCAACAAATTACTATTAAAGAATTAGTACCAAACTTGCGACACCTGCTTTATTGATCTTTGGCGCACATTTTCTAGAGAAATTACCAAATAAATAATTTTTTAACATAACTAATGCGATCAATATCATTTTAAATTGGTTTCATTTTTCGTAATAAAACTTATGGTTTTTCAGTAAGTTACATTAAAGAAATATGAATTGCTATCTGCCCAAAGTTCAGTTGAAGTCAAAAGAATGAAAGGTTTTCTTTGTCCACAATTATTACTACCAAAATCAGCAATAATTTTGGTCAAAAGATATTAAGTCATTTAATAAACATAACAGCTTGTAACATGCGATATTATGCAACCATTACTGGTAAACTAAAGATTGTTTTCGATGGTGGCAATTTAGTAAAAAATAAACAATAAATTAGTACTCGCAACATCAAGGTCATTTAGTCTTTAGAAAAAAATTTAGAACGGAAATAAAATGACGATCACACTGTGAGTAGCCATGCTTTTTTTTTTAATCTTTATTATAACGGTTGGAACATTTCAGTCATATCATTGGATAAGGTAGAGACGTTGTGAGGGTGGGTAAAGTAGAGCATTTCTCCATATTTTCCATTTCCCTGAACTTTAAGGGGTCGGTGATATTCGAAAAACAAAAAATAATGATAAAAATGGCTATTTTAAAAAAAATTTAATTAGTGGAAGTTTCAAAACCTTGTTTTCAATTTTATCATACAGATGAAATAGAAAAATGGCACTACACTAAGAAAAAATTTAACAAAGTATGGTAAAATTTACCGTATTTCTGACTTTATAGGAACATCAAAAAACTCGGTAATTTTTACCAAAGTGTTTTGATAATGAATTTGGTCAAATTAACAATAAAATATGTTTTCATAAAAAAAATGAGATACAGTTATGATACAATATGAGATCTCAATAAAATACGAGATACAATTTGATAAATGTGGTAAAATTTGGCAAGTTTATAATGATTCCTTTCAACTAGAAACTATTATTGAACTAAAAACTATTTATTGTATAAAATTTATTTTCCAGTTTTGTATTTTTTATTAAATGTGTGGTAATAAAAACTACAATTTTGAAAAAAGAATTCCCGGTAAGCAATTACCATATGAACGGAAAAATTATTAAATGAATGGTTTAAATACCGTGTAGTTGGTTTTTTGAAACATGGCATTTTTTTATAAGAAATGTACACCATTCATTACGGTAATTTTACCAGAATTTTTTCTCTCCGTGCATTATCTACATTTTTATCGGCTATACACAGGGGGAAAAAAATCTATATAAATTAAGTTTAAGCATTTTCAGATGTTTATATAAGCGGGACCCTATAACGAAAAATGACTCACATCTAGTGGTTAGTATTTTGTATATACAACATTAATTGAACGTTTAAGATTTTTAGGAAGAAAAGTATAAATTAAGAATTTTAACTCTTGAAAATATTAATAGTTTAGGTTTTAAATTCGCTTGTGATTTATTAAAGTTAAATTGGAAAGCACTAAATATTTTTAAGCATTCTGATCATATTTCATATTTTTAAGCCAGTATCTCATTTCATAAATTTGTCCAGATATAGATTGACTAAGAGCAGTAGCTAAGATTTAATCATTGTTTATTCATAAGATATCACCCGTCTATTAGAAACAACATTGTTTTTGTGACAGTCTATTTAAGTCTAATGAGACAGCCTGATCCGTATAAGTTAACTTACTGATCTTGTCCAGCCTTGGCACAATCCATAAAATGGAGAAAAATCAAAAAAAATATTTTGAAAGGCCTTTTCAAAAAACTGCATAAACAGCAATAATTTCAAACTAAATAGATTGTTTAAAAACAAATTAATCCATTGAAGAAAATGACTTGCTTTTTCCAAAACTCTTCAACCATTTACTTGATCTGGTGGAATTAAAATTAATTTTTTTCCCTTTAAGTTTAAAAAATATTTTATTGCTACATCAGAAAGTGGATGAAAAATCAAGTGGCATAATTTCTTCTTTGACACATAGTGACAAATGAAGTTCAATAAATGAAAAAGAATTAATATTCATAATGTTTCATTTATTGATGTGGAAGGTTTCGGTATCATTATTAAACTTCACTAACGCATGAAATAGGATAGAAAATAATAATATCTTAAATATCTATAAAATCTGAACTAAATTTATGTTTTCAGGATATCCTCCAGTTCCTGGCACCATCACAGTGGTCCCCGTACAATTCGGAGACACTCCTATGCAAGTGACATGTAGTAATTGTCACAAAACAGTTATTACCACCACTGTAGCCGAGAATGGCGCATGCGCATGGATTGCAGTTTTAGTGATGGTTTTCGTTTTGTAAGTAAAGCATTACAATTTAAATTAAATTGCTGAACAATGTAAATGGGATACCTGCAAGTGACGTAGTGTGGGTATTCCGATTGGTTGTTGAAACCTGTCATTTGTTTACGTCAGCAACTGTTCTTTTCATTCTTTTTCGAGTAAACCTAGCCCATCAAGCATCAATTTTCCTAAATGATACATTCTATATTCTTACACAAAAATTTTAAATTTTTTTACTGTATATTTTTTACTTAACACAAAGCCATGTAGAACATTAACAAACTAATTATACATCGAAGTTGCCAGGTACACAAAAAAAAATATATATATATATCACGATTACAATAAAATACATAAACAACTAATAAATCCAAACTAAGTCAGAATCATATTTCAATAAATTCGATGTGTGATACGGCATTGTATTTAATTAACTTCACGTTAATTAACATTCTAACTTATGTGAAGAAACTTAGCTCATCTTTAAACGCCATTTTGCTTATAAACGATCAGCTGGTACTGACGTCATAGGTCACATGTGTGGGTATCCGTGGTCTTCTTCTTGAAATGCTAGTACCCAATTGTTATGAGATTATGCTGTAAGTTGCTAAAAATCGCAAATTCCAATAAGAAAAATGTGCTTTAAAAATATACTAGGGTGTCACTTTTATTGAACAAAAGTAATTACAAAATGTCCCTTAAGCGTTTTCATTTATTTCGCTCTTTTACGCTTCGAAAAAAAGTTTCAGTAACATTGCAGGAATGCTTGAAATGATTTGAGTGCCGCAGCGTAAATTATGCATGCAGTCATCTTTAAGTTGAGGAAATTATTTAACACGTTTTGTTGTTAATAACTGATTTAATTATTTTTCCTCAAATTTAATTTGTGATTACGTATTATACTTGACAAATATACTTTAACTTGTGTATCAATTTACTTTTTATTGAATACAATATGCAGGGTGATTTACTACAACGGTTGATTGATTTTTTCATTTGCGTCGCACTAGAGCTGCACAATGGGCTATTGGCGACGGTCTGGGATACATCCCGGAAGATTACTACAACGGTTATAAACTTGAAGAAGGGGCCTCTCTGGCCGAGCGGTATCGCCTGCCAAACGCTCTGTTAAGCGTGAAGGTGGCTGGTTCGAATCCCTGGATGTATTCTTTGTGACGTTCTTCTACTTGGCAAAGGTTTATAAGCCTTAATTGAGCACACAAGTCTGCAAATGTATGTTGTACCAATAAATAAAAAAAAACTTAAAGGATATACAGGAAAGGATTCACATAGTATGGATTTTATTTTAAAACCGGCGTTGAACAGCCAACAGAATTCTGAGTTTACTACTACGAATGTTCAACTCCGTAGGCTTGTAATTTTAAACCGAATCCAGAAGACAAAGGAACTCCTGGATCAAGTATCGGGAGAAATTTGCCTTTGTGGTGTAACTAACGCCTACCGCAGCTTTTTTAACTCTATTTAATGCATTTAAGTTGAGGATTACGTTTCGATATTAAAAGTTTGAAATTTATAAATTATAATAATACGTAATCTCGTAGTATCAACACTTGTACCTTGATATAAAATTTCATTTCGTTTTCTCGAATTGTCTGCACGAGCAATATATAGGCAAAATTATTATATAACAGTTCTGTTTTCACAAATTTAACTAAAAAGCATCTATAATAAATGAATTTGCAATGACTTTTTTTTTAATGTTTTAGCTGTCCTTGTTTTTTCATTCCTCTTTGCATCGATTCTTGTAAAGATATTCATCACAAATGCCCATCCTGCGGCTGTCAACTTGGAGTTTACAAGAAATTATAAGCAGAAGGTAAGGCAAATATTTTTTAAATCAAATATTCATTTTATGCAGGCTTAAATTTCATGTAACTTCAATTTAACCTTTAATACCACTGTATTGAACGGTCTGCTGCTTTCAACATAGGAAAATCGACTTCATTTTCTTATCAAATTTCGAAATTAGTAACCAAGTTCGTCAACAAAAGGCTACTGTATGGAAAAACTATAAAAACAATGTTTACAGCAGTATCTTATATTGAAATATTTGAAAAGGAGTTAGTTAATTTCGACATCAGACTACGCCACATTGTTGCCGTAAATAGCACTTATTTTGAAAACATTATTTTCTACTTCTTCTAAGCTAGCGGTACCATCTGTTAATGAAATTAATTTTGAAACTTGGTTAGATTAAATAATTTCGTTTCCAAAACAGAACACAGCCAATGTTGCATTTCTACCTCTAATCGTTTGTTCCTAATTGATTTTTTAAATCGTCGATTGCTAAATATACCTACTGAATAGTTTCTCAATTTGTACTTAGAGTACCCGAGTACCACTTTCTTAAAAAAGCTTCCGCCATTGTACTTGCAATTTTGATGTTCAACCGAAACATGTGGGATAAGACCGAGTAGTAGGGTGAGAACGGGTACATCGGCAGTGTCAAAATTTGTTCTATTTTCTAACGGACAGACTCTAAATTATACTTACCCTATTACATGCTGTTGTCAAGGATACTTACCCTATTCACATGCTGTTGATGAATTCGCAGCAATAGTAGATAAAATCGTTTTACTATGTCAACTCTGTAATCTTCTTTTGTTTTTTAAACCACCCTTATTTATTGATCATAACAGTTACAAAAATTATTTTTAATTCAGCTTCTTAATACCATAACGAACAATAAGGATTTAGTCCAACAGTACCAATGTTCCGTTTCTATAACCTCTGTACCCTTCCCCCTTGATGTGTGTATAACCTGTACTTGAAAAAGTTGCAATGCAACAGAGGAAGTAACTACATCGCATGCATAATATTTTTAATATGCCATATAAAATAAAAATGTCTGCTACTTTTTCATTATAATTTTAGTATTACAAAATTTCTCCGAGTTAAAATATTATAATTACATAATTTCTCATATAGTTGACTTATTCCAGAAAAAAAACAACATACAGTGAAACTTCTCCTAAAGGCCACCTCTACTTAAGGGCCAATATTTTGAGGAACGAAAATTTTCCCCACAGACATAATGTTAATTTTCCTCCCATTAGAGGTCCACATTTTCCTGACTACCTCCAATAAAGGCCATTTTTCCCCCGTCCCATGAGTCCCCCGTGCCATATTTATCAAACCAAGAAACGCTAATAGAAGTAAATAAACTGATATCCCAATCCAAGGCATTAATAAGTGATGCGATTTTAACTAATTTGTTTTATAGAGTTAAGGAATCATTAGAAACTAAAATTGTTTGCGAAAAAATTGCAAAAAGTGAACAAACTTCAATTGAAAATTTTTTTAAACATGTATAAAAACTTAAAATGCTAATAAACAGTTTTTTTCTACATAAATTTTGATTTCCTCATTTTATTTTCTGGTCACCCCCATAAGGGCCAATTTTCAAAGGAAGGACAGGTGGCTTTTACCGAGAGGTTTCACTGTATTTATAAAAAAAGTAGTGCATCTAGGACTTAACAGGAATCATATAATGTACACAACTAAACAACGAATATTTTGATTAAATCTAACAGTTTCTTGTTCAAATCTTCACCCCGGTCTTACCCCAAAGTTTCTTTTTCTTCTTCTAAAACGAATATAACTAAGATATCATTACAGAGAAACGAACACTATTTGTGAATTGTTTAATAAATGCATGTTTCCTTCAGTACCAAAGGCGTAAGATTCGTTTTAGATTAGATTTAACATCTACCCTTAGTTTGCATTCAAAGTCAACAAACATTCCTCAGTTTGTTTTGGAAAAGAAGAAGATAATTGAACTGAATTTCTGCTGTATGGCTGAATATTTTCTCAAGTGTTGCAATGTTGTAAGGAATGATCAAAATTAATATATGATTCCCACTGAACGCACGTTTATCGAGAATTTCTAGAAATGATTTTATTATTCTTGATAAAAAACTTTCATGTGAAGTCAGATTTATGTGAACTGATGCTATACAATTTGCTCAATGGATTTCAAAAAAATTGTATTGCCTTAAATTATGAATATGTTGTTGCCAGATTAACATTCCAACAGACGAAAAGTGATTGCAAAAGATATGTACACTACTGGCCATTAAAATTGCTACACCAGGAAGGCGACATACCACGAACGTGAAGTTTGCAGGACGGATAAAGCATGCTGTGGTATGCAAATGATTATCTTATAAGCGCTTTCATGCAAACCAGGCGGCAGTAGCGACACCTACAATATCTGTAAAAGAAGAGACAGTAAGTTTGTCACACAGAAATTCAATTTAAGCGTTGTTCTGGGGTAAAAAAGTTTTTGTCATACCTCGTGTAAGGAGAAAGTCCTACCAACACGTGTCCGAGTTTGATCGAGGTCCGGTTTATCATACCGACGTATGGTCTATCATACCGACGTATGGTGTATCATACGCTCGTGTTGGTCTACATCCCATGACTGTTAGCAGAATATGGAATCGATGGGTTCATGACGGTGATGTGGAACACCGTGTAGAATCTCAGCGGGCCACCATCACTAACAGCCGAGAAGACAGACTTGTTATCCACATGGCCTTAAGGGATCGTACAGCTACGTCACGAATCCTGAGTTAACACGGGGTCATTTGCAAGACAACCAAGGGTTTCCACGAACAATTCGACGACGTTTGCAGCAGCATGGACTGTCGCCACGACGACCATGGCTTCGGCTACCCTTGACGTCGCATCACAGGTAGGAGAGTATGATCAACGACGAACCTGGACACAGGAATGGCATGACGTCTTTTCAGACGAATCCAGGTTTTAAACACAGCATCATGATGGCCACATCCTGGAGAACACCCATTGGCAGCATTTTAATTAAATAAAATCTTCTCACATCACCCAATCTTGGCCAAGCAGCTTTCCAGGGTTCTATAGTTTAATTGCTACGGTAGGTATACCACATAATTTTGACACTGGCCAAACGACGTGTACAGGATCAGAGCTGGTACCACTCTCTCCAATCATTTACACAATTCTTATTGCAAAGAATATCAATAAATTTAATTTAATTCCACAAAAAAAAAAGTTATGTTTTGCACAGCTCATTTTTTTCCCCTTTATACATTAAGAGCATAATATAAATAAGAGACAAAAGGTGTTAATCTACCTAAAATAAAGTTATTGGCTCAAATTTCACCCATATTATTTTCTAATAAAATGGAATAAAATAAGACTAAGATAGAAGCCATTTTTGTTTCATTCAAATTTGAAATCGTTGTAATTATAAACTTATATATTTCTTTCTTCTTATTGCAGGCACAAGAAAAGCAATTGGCCAAATATGAAGCATGACTTATTTGTTGACATTTTTAATGCAGGAACTATTTTTATTACATTTCTAAATTAAATAGCTCATGACATGACAAACCAGTATTACAGCCAAAATATTTTTATTGTATAAAATTGTGATTAAGAAATCAAAATTTAACCCATAAATGATTGTAAATAGATAGAATTTTGATTTCTTCATCACAGTCCCAATGCAGCATTATTTTTCTTACACAAAAAAGCAAAGAACGTGATCAAAAAACAGTGAAGGGTGTTTATTATATGTTTACATTATATTTTATGAATCAATTACGTGATCAGCTGCTAAATGTTTTGTTTTCCTGCATACATGTTGAAAAAAACAAGTTTAAATATGCAGATATTAATAAAAATCCTATTTTTGTTACTTTGTTTTTCGTTGAATGAAGGTATGATTAATTCATGCAAACTATGTAAACTAAGTTTTACTTAGCAAGCAATTTCTGTCACAATAAAAGCTTGAGAAAGAAAATATGTGTTTATTTCATTGAGAAAAACAGGTAAAGCTAAGAAATTCACAAAAAGACAAATTAACCATTAGAGTAGATTAACAATTTCTTCTCATATTCTTGATATATTTACACTTTATGATTACACATAATGTTGATGTACTTCAAAACTTGAGAACGGAAATATATTGTGCTGCTTTGAGGAGAACTGCTGCAGAATGAAAATCTGGGGCTATCTGTTGCGACACGACACATTACATGTTAACAAGAGCGAGCACATTTCTAATGGGGGTGCAATGGCGAAATGAAGGTGTCCATTGGTTTACTCACTCTGACCCTATTAAATGGACTTTGCTACGTAACCATGGTACCTGCCAAGATGCAAGACTGATGTTTGAAGGAGTTCTCCTGAAAGCAGCACTAAATGTTTATTTCATTGGGGTGAAAAAGGTAAAAACAAAAGAAATTCACAAAAAGGCAGATTAACCATTAGAGTAGATTAACAATTTCCCATATTCTTGATATATTTACATTTTATGATTGCACATGTTCTTCATATACTTAAATTCCTGTTCTAAGTCAACTAACATAACAATTTGCTAAAGACCTAGTAACAGTCCTTACCAGCGAACCACTTCATTAATACCTATTCACAAATTTCTAAGGTGTTGCCTAATTTGCTTTTACCATACTAACAATTCAAGTCACATAGCAACAAGGATTATCAAACCTTCTATGCGAACTTTAGGAAGTTGTAAGTTGAATTCAAAGTTAGCTAAGAATTTCTTAAAAACCTAGTAACAGTTCTTACTAGTGTGCCACTTCAATAATGCCTATTCACACATTTTTAAGTATATGATGTTGTCTCAATGTTTTTTTTGTACTACTAATTTTAGTCATACAAGGATTATAAAACCTTCTACGTGAGCTTTAGGAAGTCGTAATTAAAAAATAAATATAAGTAAATTTTCTAAAAAAAGGCAAATAAAAAATTATAGGTCAATTAATATTAAAAGAATTGTAAAAGTTAACTATTATATAAGAATTAAAAAATTCCGAAAAATAAAGTAAGGAAAAAAAATAGTATATATAAATTTCTATTAGATGTTTGAGTTGTGATCGTGATTTGGAAATAAGAATTAATGAAAATATAAGAAAAATTGCAATCACTCCTCATTTATTTTATTTAAATTTAAGGGCTCTGATTCAATTATCACCAAAAAATTCTAAAACAAATCTTACATTATTGTTTTAGTATTAAATTAAATATTAAAACAATCCAGTTTTATAATTTTAATTTACATGAAGCTTTGTATTATTCGGAGCAAGTCTCCGAAAAATGTAGGTACTACTGCCTTTTATTTTGAATTTTAAAAATGTGATAAAATAGAAAAAAAATTAGAACATTTTCAATTGTAAAATTAATGTTTAAAAAATCTATCCAATTGTTATAATTGTAAATAAAAATAAAGGAAAAAAATTGAATATAACTAACTGATGTGGGGGGGCTAGAGTTTTAAACAGCTCTGCCTAGACTGAACCTATCGAATCGTTAGCGGTTGGTCTTAACTTGATTAACTCGTCCCTGATTAAATATAAAAACATAAAACAAATTTTCTAACTTATTGAGTGTTAAAAATAAACATCAAAAGGTGAAAGGTTTTATGTACCCACATCTTCTAAAAAGCAAAAGAACACCACACTGAATATGAAGTTTCTTCTATACATTTGAACAATATTGCTTTTTTTTTAAAAAATTATCAAATTTTATTAAGTTTTGAATTTAAACTGTGTTTGCAAGAATTATACATTTCATTTTCTTAACTCAGTTATTATATTATTTCAAGGGAAAGTCTTTCAAAAAGGATTAAGTGTTTTAGATTTTAACTAAAAAACAGAGCAATTCAAAAAAATAAATAATTGTTGCTATAAAAATTTACGTTCAAACATTTTTTATCCAAGTAATATGGAATAATAAATAAATAAAAGTAGAAAACAAAAGACATTAACAGAAAAATACATAAAAACTTAAATATAATGACAAATGTTGTTACACAAAAATTTATTGGAGACAAGATATTCATCCCAATTAGTAAATTTACATTCATAATTAAGCTAATATATTTTCTACACAAAATAAATATATATGCATTCATCTTTCATTTAAAACCATAAAATACTGAATCATTTGGTGATAATTTGAAGTATACTTATTTCAAAAACAAAACATTATAAATATAAATACGAATAAGTAAAATCAATGTCAAATTAGGAAAAAGTTATGATGAATAACAAGTATATACTGAGCACAGGAAAGGTTTTACTTATACATTTTTATAGTGCAAAACAAACAAGATTATAACATTCCATCAAATTAACACAAAACGTTAAATATGTTATGCAATGTTATAAAATTTTAAATGATCCTAGACATTACGATTATTCATAAACTAAACTTAATATTGCTCAATAACTTAACTAATGTTTTGCAATAACTCAATTTGATGATCATCTTATTGTAGCAAAACTTACAATTTCATCGATAATTAAAAAGGAGGGATGAGTTTTCATGATGGATTTTTGTATTTTACCTAACTGATTCTCAATTGCAAACACAATAAAAATTTATGGATCTATAAACTTCAAGCACATTCTGAAAAAAACTTAAGTAGTAATAACTCATCAGTAACATCAACCTTATTTGCATGAACTAAATCATTATTGACAATAAATATTAGTCATTGAAACATAAAGCACTAATTTAATAGTCTTCTCAAAAAGTAATATTAATGAAAACTTAACATTGTTCCTATCTTCAACTTTACTACAACTCTTCAATCAATGTTATTAAAAAATACTATGTAACTAAAACTATATTTATTATACACTACAGAACTGTACACAATAGAGAAGACTACTTTAATAATTATAATTTCTTATGGCCCTTTGGTAGAAAAACATACTTAAAAAATAATTTAAAGATTTCAATTGTGTGTTTCAATACCCAATAAAAAAAAATAAAAAACATTCAATTTTATTTCAAAAAAGTATTAAATTCTAATTTTTAAAAAAAATCTATTTATACTAACGTCATTGAAAGAATGGTTAACACTGTGAAAGCAACAAGCTTTCTTAAACTAGAATGAGAACAAAGACAGACTCCATAGAGAACTTATGGAGTCTGTCTTTGCTAATATTGTTTTTATGAGGTATTTAATATTGTTTTATGAGGACTTAAGTTTATATAAGTTAACATATAATAAGAATTTTCCAAGACTTATTGAATCATATAACAAGACTTAAGTTTAATTAAAAATGTTCAAAACAATAAATTAAAGAGAAATGTGTTGCTATCTTATGAGTTTTATTGCTCATTTTCACCTTTTATTTGTTTCAACAACAATTTCTCTTAATGAGATTATTTGTTTCCTACTTGATATCAATTTAAGAATTGCAAAACTCACAAAAACAATAGTGTACAAAAGAATAACTCTGCAATGGATAAATACAAGTATAACTAATTTTAACAATTGGATAAACTCTAGGTTTTAGAGTAACAATTGATTACAGAAAATAACTCTAAAACCTCTTTATTTTATTTATTTTTTGCCATGACCACACCCCCATTTAGCTTTATATGGTTAATCATCCACAGTTATCTTTCGAACTAAATATTAATTTAAATTAAATAGGGAACACGTAAATATTTCCCATTGTAGTAGGTAATCCTTTAATTACATATAAATTATATTGTTCTTAATCGTAAACATTAATAAAAATATTCATTATTATCTATTATCACCTATGTATATGTAGCAAATACTAAAAAATACCAAGCTTTACATCAAAGTTGGCAATTCATCAAAACACTGGCAAAAACTGGAAGAAACTGCATGTAATGGAAAAAACTAAAAAAATAAAAATAAAAAAAGAAGAATACAAATGTTTAGAAATACCATAAGAATAGCTTAAATTTAATATAGTGCAATGAAGTTAAAAAGTTAATAACTTCTACTACAAAAAATAAATAAAACTATTTATAAACAGAATTTCAAAAATTTATGTTTAAGAGTCGATTTAGGTATTCATACTTAACAGTATTTGATTAAAAACTTATTCAATATGTCATTTTCAGTAGTGCGTCGGTATGTTTATCTGATCTGTTAATTAAGGGGTATTAATAAAATTTGATTAAATTATTTTAACAATTTTTTATATAATTATAAAATTCATTTGCATAAAATATTGTAAAATCAAAGTTATTAAAATTCTTTTAGAAATTTATTGATTTATTTGTATTACAACTGTTGCTTTTCAGTTTCTGCTTATTTTATAATTAGTTTCTGCTTATTTTAAAAGCTTAAAAATAAATGCTACTATTTAAACTCAATTGTAATTATAAACTATTTTAATATTTATAAAGTTTTTCCCACTGTGAAAGAAAATCTTGCTTAACATAAACCTAATTAACATTTTGACAAATTTCACTGCCTGATTCTTTTACCATACAAAATGTAAAACATACATACTTAAATAAAGAAATCCATAAAAAAATTGAGAATTGTAGTACTTTTTAAGAAAATTTTAATACATCACACTTTTACTAAGAATCACTCTGTTTTCTCTTAACGCCTGTCTTGAAACTTTCTTTTTCTAAGTCCTCATACTCGCTGACTGGCTTATGAATTGCAGAAGCAACATCCATCCATTGTAAGGCTTTTACAATTTTATCCTCATCTGATGGACATTTATCCCAGTTCCAAAAAGTAAACTCTTTGAAGGATCCTACAAGCTTAAAATCTCGCTGTTCCTCAGACATGGCAGTTTTTTTATTCTCACTCACGACAACACCTTTATAGCCAACAGGGACTTCTATCTTTTGTCCTAATAAAGGATGGCCTCTTAAAAAAACATATCGTTGTTAGATTCACAAAAAATTACTTATAATAATTACTAAATAAAAAATGATTCATTATTAACAAATTTAAATGAAAAATTACAATATGTGCAATGTCACAAATATAATGAAATATTCTACCTAGTCAAAAAACTCAACCAAAACATGAAATTGAAAATATTGATCATCTAATAGCAAATAGTGAAAAAATAAGATGACATTTGAGTTACTATTTCATCAGCGAGCTTTTGATTCTGGACAAAGCTCAAAATGTGTGTATAAGGAAATAGACATAATTTGAAATATGTGTTAAGAAAATTTAAATGCTTGAGAAAATGGGTGCAGCAGATAATGCTTCCGCCCACTTTTTAAATCAATTTTAACAAACTAACTGTTTAAAAACAAAGCATAATCATTATGGTGCTAAGTCTCAGACTTCAGGATCAGGGTGCTCGGAACAGTACAAATGTAACTTTTCAGGTATCATGTTGCATACACTAAATAAACACTAAAAAGGTTTTAAAAAAACTAAATTCATACAATGTCAATTTAATACCAGTATTATAAGTTCATAGGATCTGTGACAGCTGTGTAAAAAGAACTGATGACTGTTAAATCTTTTGAACAGAGACTTATTTTTAAAATATTTTCGAAAAGCTTTGGGCAAACGGACGTACAGCACATTATGAATCTAATTGGATCCATAAGTTTATCCTTTAAAAAAAGGAAAACTTTTAGAGAAGTTTGAAAAATTGTACAAAATACTATGCCCATTTTCCTAAACATACATTTTGAGCTATGATCAGAATTAGAAGTTCACTAACAATCTTTATTCATTTTTACACTATTTTATGATAATTCACATCATTTTAAGATCTAGCCTGAAGAAATGCAAATTTCATCTTCATGGTGCTTTCTGAAGTACTACTGTCAGATGATACAGTTACCTACTCACAAGATATAAGATATGGTAGAGGATATTATAAATAAATTGATTGAAAAAATAACCAGGAACAAAATTCGTATTATTACAGCTGGGTGACAAGGCTAATGATAATAACAAATATGCATATTTGATATTCCACAAATGTTCCATAGATGGGAATGATATTTCTAAAAACCTACTTTCTCGCTAAAATATTTTTCAAGATCAAAGGTCCGCGACTTGTTAGGGTTTATAAATGAATATAATTTAGATTTCACCAAGTGCAAAAGCACTTATTAAATGCAAAGCTCCTATTGTAACTGAGGACTCATTTTGTATAATTCACAAGAAAGTAAACAGGAAAACAAGTCTGGTGTTAGAATGTGAAGTAAATGTAATTAATTTTATTAAAAATTAGGTCTTAAAAAAAAACTATGAGATAATATGGGATTTGTACACTTCAATTTACTACACTACAGCAGTTCTAGATGGCTGTCATTGTACCTAATGTTTTATCACAAAGTTTTGAATTATGACAAAAAATACTATGCTAAATGATATAAGATGTTTTAATTAAACTAGCATATTTATGTGATATTTTTGAGAAAATGAATTACCTGCATTTCACACTACAGAAAAAACATGCACCCTTAGATGTAACAAGAAGAGAGTTCAGGCTTCATTAAAGATCACAAGTTTTAGAGAAAAAAATAAAGGAAGGTGCAATCAAATAATGATTTTTAATAATGCATCAAATTTAATGAACAGCTCTCTAACAATGTAAAAAAACTTTTTTAGAAAATAGCTATTACAGTTTATCATCAATGTTCTCCCCGAATTTAATTCTGTATAGGAAAAAAATAGTTTTGAGCAGTTTTTGCAACAAGGTAAGTGAATAAGGGAATCAGCAATAAGGTAAGGTTAATAAAATATGAATAAGGTATTTGATACCTGGTTAGGTTTTACAATAATGATTTAAAATTCTTTTATTGATAACTTGAGTTAAACATTTAAAATATTTTTAAGCTATTTAACAGAAAAAGAAATTATCGATTGGCAATATTTTAATATATTATGAAATTTTATCTTTGATGATCTATAGAAGGAAACTTAACAAAATAATAAGAAGTTAGATAAATAAGTTTAAATCAACTGTTTCAATGTAACTAAACACTATAAAATGCATGTAGAAAAAAAAAGCAATGTGAAATCAACTTAGTTATTATGAATTGAACTATATAATGAATTGAAGCTTAACTTTTACTAAACAAAATACAAACTTATATTTTTGGAAATGATACATATTTCCTTACAATAATTTTTAACATTAATGTCATTAAAACTCATATTTCACATAGATAGTGAATCCTTTGTATTATAAGTATATACTCATTTTGAGAATATCTAACATTCTATTCATTTGAATGTATACTTATATCTATTAACACATCAAATGTATTTATAATAAATATATTTTTATAAAATATTATCATAAACTTTCACACAGCATGCAACATATTTTTAGGTTTTTCTGACCATCTTGATCTTTTTCATGTATTTTAATACAGCTGAAAAATATACATTAAAATGTATTGGTTGATTAACATTTAATCAATCTACTTTTTTTACACTAATTGTAAATAGATGTTTTGTTTCAGTGACACTATATGAATTATCATGGAGACAACAAAGCTTACATTACTGCTATGAGTTTGCATATAATTTTTCACTTTATTATACTGCAGACATCTTGGCAGGATATGAAAAATATGTAGAACTCGACTAAATAAAAACTAAGTTTGTCATTTATTATCCATAACCCTTATTTAAAAATAAAAAAAAAAAAAAAAAAAAAAAAAAAAAAAAAAAAAAAAACACTACAATGAATCGAAATAAAATATAATTCACGTGTTTCGCTCATGAAAAATTAAATATACTTCAATACACACTTATTTAAAATAAAAAGAACTACCTCATGGAGCAACTGAGTACCTCATCTTTGACACGAATGTACGGAGTAAAATAATTCGCAACATTACATTTTCCATTATGGTTGATTTTACAAGGCATCAAATGACACGTTAAATTTTCTGGAGATTGTACTGCACAAGCATCTAAGGAAATAGTCAAAGACATTTTCAGTTCTAATCAAATTGAAATACTACTTTTTATTTTTACCGCGAAACGTTTTGTTTGGATAAAGATTAGAGCAATTGGATCTACCTATTTCTGTGAAACTCAATTCCTTCTTTTCTCATTAATTTTCAAATTCAAGGGACAGTTCACACTAAATGCGATTTACACGTAGCCAATCAACATGGAGAAGAAAGGAACGTTTGATTGGTCAGTTTCACAGGGGAAAATTTTTTCTACTAATCGGATTCTCATTCCTTGTCGACGATGATTGGAGGTGCGTAAATTGTATGCAGTGAGAATGGACATTGCAGCAGGGTCTCTCTGATGGATGGTACTTTCAATATGAGTGTAAACCATATATGGCAATGTTACTTTTAATAAGTAACGAGTAAAAGTACAAGTATTTTTAAAAAAAGTAACGAGTAAAAAGTAAAAAGTTCTTATTTTAAAAAGTAACGAGTAAAAAGTACAAGTAAAAGTACAAGTACTAAACAAAAAAAGTAACGATTTAAAAGTACATTTCTAGGAAATCGAAAATTCAAAGTAACCTAAAATTTTATTGAATAATATTCTTATGTTCTTTAATGTTTTTGCAAAATTGTTGTTATTTATTTAATTATTTTTAATTTTGAAAGTTGTGGACATTAATTTATTTTTAAATTCGGAAGAATATTATAATATAATTTTATAATATAATCGTATAGTATAATTTTAAAATCAAATATAAATTTAATATCAAACTTTTTACGGAACAGTCTACAGAACAGAACAGTCTACAGCAGTGTTTCCTAACGTGGGGCCCACGCCCCACCGGGGGCAAATTTGATTGTAAAGGGGGGCATTTCAAAAATGGACTCGACATGAGTTTAAACCTTTTGCTCTGGGCCATTTAAATGCAATGCGAGATTTCGGTGACAAAATCGAAAGAAAAAAGCAAATTCTTAAATAATTGCGGTCAATAAATATTATGTGACTTAGAGATTTTTTAAGCGACACACCTGAAATGAAGTATCTGTTTACAGTCATGCATGGTAAAGCATTTGTGAGTTATTTAGCCAATATCTTCGAGAAACTGAATAAGAAACTTCAAGGAACAAATAAAGCCCTTATTGATGCAAAAGCGAAGATATTTGGCTTCATTAAACTTATTGAGTTATGCCAGAAATATATTAACAAAAACTTTGAACAGTTTCATTGTCTCCAAAAATGTGAAGTAAATGATACCGCTTTACTTGTTAATGTCTATCATCTGAAAATTCTATCGGCTGATTTAAAAGAAAGATATTCTGATTTAAAACAAATTTATTTTCCAACATGGATGTTGCAGTCCATGTTAGTGGATGTGTCTGATATATCAAGAAAAACTTGCAGAAATGCAAAATGATGTGTCAGTTAAAACTTTATCTAACATGAAAGGAGTGATGGCATGGCTTCGTGAGGAAACAGAAGACAAATACCCAAATTCAATCAAATGTGCAAGAAAACTATTGTTACCGCTTCCATATTCATATTTAGCTGAATGTGGATTTAATGTTGTAAATGATTTTATTGGTAAAAAAAAGAAATCGTCTGGATATAACACAACGGGGAGACTTGAGGCTGAAGCTAACCAAATTGGAACCTAAGATAAATCTACGTGCAGCAAGCATCAAGGGCAAGAATCTCACTAAATTAAAATATTAAATTATTATAGAAAAATCTTTATAAAGACTTAATCTGCATAAAGAATCTTAAAATTATTTCGAATTTGAATTTTAGTTTTTCATTATATGTTCTGAAAATTTACTTACTTTGTTTCGCTAACAATTTCCTAAGTTTCTTAAGTGAGCACTTCGATTTTTTAATATTAAAAATTATGTATACGTTACAGGGGCCTCCATCAGGGGGTAGGTGGGCGCGCGATGCGCCCACTTAAAGCTTGGGGGGGGGAATTTTTACACTAAATAAAAGAAATAGTTTGGGGGGTGATTTAGACGAGAGAATTTTTTTTAAGTACATAAATAAAAGAAGCATTGTCATATTATGAGCAAGCAAAGTAGCACTATTTCGAACAAGTTTACATGGAAGGGGGAAGTTAGCAAATTTTTTTTGGGGCGGGGGATGAATGCGCCTAAGAGTTTGGGGGGTGGGTCCACTGATATGTTACATAGGGTGCATAAGAATTTTGGAAAGGCTTAGGTGCGGCATGGTACAAAAAAGTTTGGGAAACACTGGTCTACAGTTTTATTTGTAACAATGTCTAATGCTGAAGTCATGCGAGAAAATCATTTTTCGAACATTTCTGCCTAACGGAATAATTAAAATTTGTAAACGAATTTTAGTATCAGCGGCTAAATTAATACCCTCGAGTTTTCGAGAGTTAAAATAGTAATTATAATAGTTTTCAATAGCACAAATAGTTCTGAAATTCTTAGAGATTTGACTGGGCGTTGTTTGACAAGGTCGGGTTCTTAAACACAATTTTAGTAAAAAGTGTACTAGGTAAAAATGTATTTAGTAAAAAATGTATTAAGCCAAAAATATATTATTTGTGAGTTCAAAAAGAAAATTGAAAAACGTAATAACAAAATCTAACATTTTTTATTTAAAATGTATTGAATAAATGCATAAAACTGGAAAATGAATAAAAATAACTTGCTAATAAATATTTTTTTTCATTTTGCAAAATAATTGCATTTCGAGAGTGGTGTCACTGAGTCTACTGCCAGAATTTCTCAGAACGTGCTAAATAGCCACGCTGAATAAGCGTTCCACGGGAGCACTAGAAGGTACTGCAGTATTATATTTCACATATAATTCTTTTACGATTGGATATCGATTCAAAATTGATATACTTTCCGTTTCGACATTTGAGCTCATGTATGCCATAAATTCTTCTGTCGCTAGTGATTGGCATGATGTTTTCAGCTTTAGATAATTTGAAATCCCTGGGTTTTTTTTTCTGTTACGTTAAAGACTTTCAAAGCGGAGCTTTCAAGCGTCTAACTGCTAAGACTTTCAAGCGTCTAGCTGCCGAAGTTATAGCAGGGTGCTCAGCTTGGACAATTATTTCCAATTTTTTTTTTTGCAGCCTCCTCCCTAACTTTTTATTGAAACCAATTAAATTTGATGCAAAGTACCAGACCTGCAGCAAACAATAAATCGTCCTGCGATTTCACATCCCGAAACCTTTCGCAGTTCAAAAGAGCCGTCTTTTCCCTTTCACGAATGACAATTTTAAAAGGTCAAGGTATTTAAACGCGAAGTTAGCTGTGAATGCTTATATATTGCACATTAATTTTATAAATTAAAAAAACATAAGCATTTTTTTTTTGGAAAGCTTACCGAGTTTTAGAAAAAAGTAACGATTTCATTCGACATTTCCGTTACAAATACTTGTACTTTTTCCATAAAAAAATAGCAAAAGTACAAGTAAAAGTACTAAGTTTAAAAAGTAACGAAGTACAAGTAAAAGTACGTACTTTTTACTTGTACCGGCGGTACAAGTAACGAAACTAAAAGTACTGCCATATATGGTGTAAACATTAACAACAATCTCGAGCTCTTGCCCAACTCTCTTCCTGTTAAAAAAAATATACAGCTGCTTTCTGCAGCTTATTCTGCGAGGTGATATTTCCAAACAAATAATTATGTTTTTAATAAAAAAAATAAATTACATGATTACTTAACTCAACTCTATTGTATCTCATAAGATAACTAATGATATTAAGAAATTTTGGTGAGTTTAAAGTGAAAATTTGTTTTAGTTATTAATAGTTGCATTGTTAAAAAAGGTGACATGGGTATGGTTGCTAAATTTAGAAAAAACTCGTTTTTTTGGCTGTCCTGATTCGACCTCTTTATACTTGTTTATTACTGTTTGTTCTTGATGCAAGCCGTGCACCATCATACGCTAGTGTTAGCATATAGTTCGAGTAGAGCGAGATTAAGTTTATTTTACAAATTATCATTTAGGTTTAAATGTCGAAGTTGGTATTTTCTTGACAAGGTAAGAAGTGTTTTATAACGATTCTTTCTTTTTTTTTTCAAATGGCGTTCAATGAATTCTTGAAATGATAGATCTTCAAATGAAGATTCGTACAGCAATTCTTTTTTTAGATACAAATAATAAATCAGGTAACATATACACGTATAAAATATTTCCTACTCAATAGAGTATCCAAACACAATGATCCTATTGTGAGCCAAAAGGCTTCAAAATACAGATAGAATAAAATGAATGAATAAATTAAAAGAAATGAATAAATAAAAGAAATAAATAATTTAAAAAAGGAAGTAAATTATATAATTTCCTAGTTCAAATCTGTTTTATTTCATAAGATATTAATGATATTTAGTAATTCTGGTGAGTTTGAAGTGAAATTTTTTTTAGTTATTTATAGATGTATTGTTAAAAATGTGACTCGAGTTCTAGATTTAGAAAGAACTCGTTTTTTGGCAGTCTCGATTAGGCTTCTTTTTACTTGTTTATTACTCTTTGTTCTTGTTGCAAGCCATGCACCACCGTACATGAATGTTAGCATATTGTTCGCATGGCAAGATTAAGTTCATTTTACAAATTATCATTTAAGTTTAAATTTCGAAGATGGTATATTGTTGACAAAGTAAGAAGTGTTTTATACAAAAAAATTTGAAATGACGATTCTTTCGTCTTGAAAAGACAGGTCTTCAAATGACGACTCTTTTTTTTAAACACAAATTGTAAATCAGGTAACACATACACATATTCAAGAAATACTACTCAGGAGAGTCTCAAAATACACGTTATGAGCCAAATGGCTTCAAAATACATCGGAAAGAGTAACCAGGAAGTATAGGCAGTCACAAGCTTGCATCGCATCCTAGTGCAGAAAACCCCATCCCCTGGCGATGAACTGGAAAACATCTTTGAGGATTATCCGAAGATATGTCATCCCAATTTTAATCTTCTGCATCAAGGGCAAGAATCTCACTAAATTAAAATATTGAATTATTATAGAAAAATCTTTATTAAAATTATTTCGAATTCGAATTTTAGTTTTTCATTATATGTTCTGAGAACTTACTTACTTTGTTTCTCTAACAATTTCCTAAGTTTCTTAAGTGAACAATTCGATTTTTAATATTAAAAATTATGTATATGTTACATAGGGGGGCATAAGAATTTTAGAAAGGCTCAGGTGGGTATAGTTTAGTA